AAGAGAAACAGCTGCAGAGGTCTGACAGGAAGTGTGTGTGTGTGTGTGTGTGTGTGTGTGTGTGTGTGTGAGTGAGTGTTAGGGCTGCAGAATATATAGGTTTCAGCATGGAGATGGCGTGTGTGATCATGATCGTTCTCAATAGTCACATCACAGCACCTGCACTGTTGAGTCTGCAGTGTTATTGATCATGCGCGTGTGTTTTTCAGGCCTGTGATGGTGTGAGGATATTGGAAGCTCTCGGGTGTAGGAAATTCTTCCATTTGTAACTGTAATAATGATTAGTTTCATTGAGTTATCTTTACTTTCATTATTCGCTTACTGTTCCTGGATACTGTTAGACTCAGTCAACTCTGTTTATTCCCTCTGTCTTTTCCTTTATTGTATTTCCAGATTGCTTATGATATTTTATGCAGACGCACTCCACTGCAGAATCATCCCCATCAATCTAGCGTTACACATTCTTCCTAAATAGAGATACTGAAGCCGTCTGGTCAAATTGTATTTATATCGTAATATACATTACAGAATAGCACAAGATCGCAATGTCAGGTGTTTCCAATATCATGCAGCTCCAGTGTGAGTGTGTGTGTGTGAATACTTATGTAGTGGGGCCAAAGATCCCCACAAGTATAGAAATACCAGTAAATATTGACCTTGTGGGGACAAATTATTGGTTTAAAAACAAAATAGACAGATATATGAATGGATGGAGGGATGGTTTGAGTCCCGGCTGGGTCAGTTGGTGTTCCTGTGTGGAGTTTGCATGTTCTCCCAGTGTTGGCGTGGGTTTCCTCCGGGTGCTCCAGTTTCCCCCACAGTCCAACAACGTATAGGTGAACTGGGTAGGCTAAATTGTTCGTAGTGTATGAGTGTGAATAAGTGTGTGTGGATGTTTGCTAGAGACGGGTTGCAGCTGGAAGGGTATTCACTGTGTAAAAACATGTGCTGGATAAGTTGGCGGTTCATTCCGCTGTGGCGACCCCGGATTAATTAAGGGATTAAGCCGACAAGAAAATGAATGAATGAATGAATGTTTACTGTAGGGGCGGCACGGTGGTGCAGCGGGAAGCACAATCGCCTCACAGCAAGAGGGGTGCTCCGGTTTCCCCCACAGTCCAAACACATCGACTAAACCGAAAAGAAAACAAATGAATGAATGAATGAATGAATGAATGAATGTTTACTGTAATTCACCATGATTAGCTCATATTTTACTTGCAACGTTTAAATGCTTGATTATTTCAGCACTGTTGACAGTTCTGATGATCGACACATTGATTATTAAAGCACACAACAACCTCAATTAATCAAGACATAAATCACTAATGTGTGTGTGTGTATGTGTGTGTGTGTGTGTGTGTGTTTGTGTGTGTGTGTGTGTGTGTGTGTGTGTGTGTGTGTGTGTTGTGTGTGTGTGTGTGTGTGTGTTAGCATGTGGTGTAGTTTAGCAGGAATATGGAGCAACATGACCTGTGAGCTGCTCTGAGGTCAAAGTCAGTCCTCGACCTCTGAGAGCAGCCAAGCGGGAACAATCATCCATCAGACACAGACGAACACACTGAAAGCGTCATTTCTACAACGTCACAAAACAGCTCTATTGAGGATCTGGAAGAGCTCCATAGCCATAGTGTGATCGACTGCGTCAAGTGGGATTTAAAGTAACGGAGACATTTTTTAGTTCCCTATAGTCCTGAGAATAAAGGCTTTCCTACTGAGAGTTTGTGTCTTATTTCTCGTCCTAATATCCACAAATTCTTAATTCCAGAAGGATTTTTTAGACAGGCTCAAACTATTCTCTTGTTTTCAGAAATAATGAGTCAAAATGAAGAGAGTTTCTCCTTAAACAAACAAGTTATTCTGCTAAATAAGGCTAAGCAGTTTTTGCTTTAACTGTTATTTCTCTTCCTCCATTGTCAGATTATTCTGCTTGTTTTAATGTAAAACTCTTCATTTTGTCTCAGTGTTTCTAAAACAGCACATTAGTTTGTGCTTGTCTAGAAAACGCTTCTTGATTTAGGAGTTTTAGGTATTTGGACTAGAAACAAGACACAAACTACAGAACAGCAGAAGGGGTTAACTCACCGCTGGCTCTCAGTGTCCTCTGGAGTTACAATAATAGTGGCAAACGAGGCTCTTGAAGAAGAAGAAAACATCATCGGAGGCACCATTTCCGCTCAGTCATCCATATTAACCAGGGGAATATTTGGGGAATGAACAGCGTCGATAAACATCCTGAAGCAATAATACCTGGAGAGTGATGAGGAAATGGAGGTATGTGAGGTTTCCAGCGCCTGAAGCCGAGCGTGTGAATTACTCTCACCGCTTCCTCCACTGCTCACTCTCTAATTAGTCACTTAATTGCAAACGAGTGAGTGTGTTTGTTTACCAGTGATTCCCCGAAGTCTAATCAGCTATAGTTCCTCTGATCGGCTGAGCTTCTGAGCTGGACTTCTGATTCAGAATGGTGTTATGCACAGTGCTCACTACAAAGAGAACATTGTGTGTTTATATCATGACAATGTTTGATTCAGTTCATGTTCAGTGTAGAGTGGGTGT